GAGATAGAGGAACGACCTCACGGCTCGCACGAGAAGCCACAATAAGCCCTGTACGACGTACAAGGGCGGTGATTTACGACCGTCGCCCCACGATGCGTCCGGATTGATCTCGTCTTCATTGCCATGCCTTCGACCATATCTGCCAGCCGCAAGCGCGTCTTCGGCTCCGTCTTCCCACCCGCGTATTTCACCACCGCGCCGGCGTCTCGGTTAGCCAGCGCAAAAAGTCCGCGCCATTCCGAGTCTGCTGAGGGGATTGATGACCAGGAGCAATATGACAAGGAAGCTTGGGATCGTGCGTGGCGTGTAGCGACTGAGTTTCTGCAATTGCCGAGCGAGCAGCTTGCGGATTTGACGCAGTCAGAGGATGATGAGGAGTTTCTGCACCGGTGGAGGGGTCATACGAGCTTCACCAAAGAGGCCAAGGATGCATTGGACTTTTTGATTCTACCGTTCCCCAGGGGGGAGAGTCTCACGACAGGGCAGCAGAGTATACTCGAGTGGTACCGCCTAGAGATACGGGTACACTTTCTGCGCAACTTTCATGAGGTTCTAACAAAGGTATTTGACCTATTGATGATGATATGATGATAGTTCTGACGATACCAGGTGTTGGATTCAGAGGACAAGGGGCAGCTACAGGCTATTGTACGAATCCTAGGACTTGCGCGGCGGTTGTACTTTGCTCCGTTCGTGGAGTACCTCCTACCGCTCCTGAATCATGCCGACCAAGAACGGGAGCTTCGTGCAATGGCGTATACGTTCCAGATGGTGGTGGGGTATGCCCTGCCTTGGACACGAGTATCAGAGCTGCTCTTCCGAGAGCTCACAAAAGACGCGCTCATTATCCTGGGGATTGACGCGCTGGATGAGGAAGCAAACTTTGAGGACAGTGTCAGTGTGGATAATATGGAGGTCGACCGGCAATACTCGGTCTCTTACCAGGATTGGCGGGAAGAGCCGTCCGCGGAAGTTCGAATGCAGATGATGGCAGAGTACGAGGATGTGCGAGTCGTTGCGACGCGCGAACGCCTGCTGTCACTACTGAGGAGCTTGCAGCTTGTTGGTTTAGGCGGGGACAAGGCCCAAAAGGTTTTTGCCAGCGTGATGGACATGATGTTGACGGTGTTTATCGAATCTGCATACGCCAACCAGTGGGAGGGGCCGTCGTTGGTCAGCCAGCACCTGCGACAGTGGATTGAGAATGTGTTTGCTCGGTTAGTTGTGCAGGTTCTGGCGATCATCAACCACGACGAGACGGGATCGACCGCCTCTGGTCGTCTGGATGTGAGTTTAGCAGATGTGGAGAAGTGGCAGGAGATGGGAATCTCGCGCCTGGGTTCACTCCGCACAAGGGAGCTGTTTGACATCATTGTCGAGTGGCCCGCAAGCAGCGGTGCCATTGAGGACTTGCGACACTTTTCGACACATCCGGCCGCTAGGTACTGTTTGACGCAAGCGTTCATCAAGGTGCTCAACCAACGGTTGTTGCATCCCGGGGCGTCGACCATTGACATCCTACGAGTGTACATCTCTATCATCCGCGCGTTTAACCTACTAGATCCCAAGGGTGTTCTGCTTGACCGGGTTGCTCGACCCATTCGCAGGTACCTACGCGATCGCGATGATACTGTCAAGGTCATTGTTGGTGGACTTCTGGCAGATTCTTCTGACATGGACGAGCCCAATCTCCCGTCTACCGGAGAGACTCTTTCGGAGCTGTCTGCCGAGCTAGCTAAAGCACACCAGAACTCACTGCGGGCCGACTCTGGCGAGCTGGACTGGGATGATATGACCTGGATGCCGGATCCGGTGGACGCAGCGCCGGACTACCGGAAATCCAAGAGCTCCGACGTCATTGGCAGTCTAATCAGTCTTTTCGAGTCCAAAGAGACGTTTGTCAGGGAAATGCAGAACATGCTTGCTGAGCGCCTGCTCCAGAAACGCGCCGACTTCGAGCAGGAGACGTCCGTCCTGGAGCTGCTCAAGGTGCGCTTCGGGGACAATGCCCTGCAGGCATGCGAGGTCATGTTACGGGATATCTTTGACTCTCGCAGGGTTGATGCCGTGGTTCGCAACGACCAAGGACTCGTCCAGCAGGAAGACGATACCAGGCCTGAGCTGCATGCGAAGATTCTCTCACACTTCTTCTGGCCCGAATTTCCCGCACAGGAGTTCAAGGTGCCACCGGAAATTGCGGCCTTGCAGGAGCGGTATGCCACCGGATTCGGATCGCTCAAACAGTCCCGGAAACTCACCTGGCTCAACGGAATGGGACAGGTCACCGTCGAGCTGGATCTCGAGGACCGAGTGTTTGTGGACGAGGTGACGACCTGGCAGGCCACCGTGATCTACGCCTTTGGCTCCGGGGAAGGGGCCACCAAAACCGTGGATGAGTTGTCGGCTGAACTCGGCATGTCGACGGCGCTCGTGCGCAGTGCCTGTCTTTTCTGGGTCAGTAAACGCATCCTCAGCGAAGTGCAGCGCAATACTTTCCGCGTCCTGGAGGTCCTACCCAATGACGATGACACGGGAGCCGTCGGTGCCGCTGGCGTATCAGCGATGGAGTCTGGCCAGGCCAACGCCGCGGCAGCAGCCGATGCAGCAGCGGCGGCGGCAGCCAAGGAGACGGCCGAGGCGGCGGCGATGGAGAAGATGAACCTGTACTGGCAGTTTATCGTCGGCATGTTGACCAATCAAGGCGCGATGCCGCTGCAGCGCATCGTGATGATGCTGAAGATCGCGGTGCCAGGGGGTTTTCCATTCAGCAACGAGGAGCTGCGCGAGTTTCTTGCAGGCATGGTCGCCAAGGGCAAGTTGGAGATTATCAGTGGAGGGAACTACAAAATAGTGCAGTAGCTGCATCATCGTACGACTAATGATAATGATTATTCACCATACGGAGTACATTGAAGGGTATGATACAACTAGAGACTACTCCGCATCCAACGGCGCCACCGGAGGCTGATCATCCACCTGAATCCCCCCTCGTTTCTTCTCATTACTGTCCCAAAACGGCAACCTCCAGCCGCCCTCATCCTCCGGCGTCGCCAACCACAGCCGCATCAGATGCCGCCTCGGCGCAGGGGGCGCATGGTCCCTGTACGCTGTCCGCGCATGTAGCACATGCGAATTGGCCAGGAACTGGATATCGCCGACCTCCAGCACCATATGCAGCGCGTTTTGCAGGCATGTGTCCTCCAGCACCTGGATCGCTTCCAGCTGCGCCGCAGATAGCGGGGGGATGATTCCCGCGTCGGAGAAGCGGGTCAGCGAGCGGACATAGTACGGGTCCCACCTGTAGTCCCCTTATTAGTTCATATATCAAGCAGGGCAGAAAGGGGCGAAGGGACATACTTGGTATACACGCGCGGGTTATCGCCGCGCTCAAGATACATCACACTCGTCCGAATATACTCCTCCTGACCCTTGGAGGTCTCGCCCTTGCGATCAAAATACCAGATCGGCTGCGTTAGCGTCTTGAGCACATCAGGCCGCTCCCTCGCCAGGATATTATACACGGTATGCGAGGAGACGATGTCCGACTCGCCGCCTTCCAGCGCACGCGCGATACACAGCAGGCCGACGATATCCGCGTCGTCGGCGTGGAAGAATTGTCTACGGACTCGTCAGCTTGGCCTATCTCCATGGCTGTGAGGCAGGGAGCTGGGGACTGGGGCTACCTTGCGTTGGTACGATAGATGCGCACCTTGTCGATCTGCGATGGATCCTCGCCTAGATCCTTGACGTGGCCGAGGACATGGCCGCGGCTGTTCTGGCTGACGAAGTAGCCCAGGTACGTCCCGAGGCCCATGTACACCACTGCGGATTTGTGGTTTCCCCATGTCTGGACGGGGAGGCCCTTGAAGAGGATGAAGCCTCGGCCGTTGAGGAGGTCGTGGCGGAGGGCGTGCAGGTGGGTGCTTAGGGTTGGGAGGGGGAAATTTTTCTACTTAGCTTAGCATCATCACGTTGAATATGTGGAAGGGTGTTTGGGGGAGGGTACCTTTGAAATCCCGGTCAACGGAATTTTATTCCTGATAAACTCATCCGCCGTGCGACTCAGCTCGTCCAGTTCGGACGCTGTGAACCGATGCGTCCATTTCTCGGGGTGGTCGCGGTACTCGGCTGCTGTCCAGACGGTGGGGCCTGTGATTTCCTTGGGGAAGTGCTCGAAGGGCTGGAGGTGGTCGTAGAGAGGGGGGTGTTGGCCTGTTGTCTTGAGGCCGTCGGGGAAGAGGGAGGGAGGTGCAAGTTGTGTGAGGGCCATATCCTGTCAATTGTCGTATACTCGCGTTGTACTTGTCAACAATGTATGGCATCTTGAGGTCGTGAGGGGTATACTATATATATCTTATTGTCTACACTACCAGTATGAATGATTGGTCAATAGCGGAGATGATGGCGTGCCAGGGTATCTTTTATTCTATAGGCTCGTGGCGCCGGCTGGAGTGGTGATGCGGATATGGCGCAATCAGATGGGGATGTGACAGCATCAAATAGCGGATATGAAGATCTACTACTATCAACATGTGAACTTCTTCAATAGTACATCACTTCTACTGATCTTTTCTCTGTTTATCTATAAGTTAAAGCTGCGAAGCTAGACGCACTAGCTCTATATTTCTAATACTTGTTATAATAAACTACTTCCGTTTTAAAGTTAGCGGCCATTGTATACTTCCAAGATGATGTATACAGTGTTTCACTACTCTACACTGTGTATATACATTTCCATCAGCTATATAGATCTAGCGAGCCGCAATAACCTACTATATATTCACTAATATATTCATACCTGACAATCATAACATCTCTCTATGCCAATCCCACGACCAAGAAGTTTCCAAACAACAACAGGAAAACCGCTCCTAATTCGGTAACTGGATCCGAGAACTATCACCACATCACCAGGTGCATCACACCTCTTATCCCAACAACTCCTCATAAAACATTGGATACACTCATGATCCAACCGCAAAGAAAAGAAGCAGAGAGGAATGCACATCCACATCGCCATCCTCGACCTCGACGTCCCCGTCCCAACCGTCTACGCCACACGAGGCCTCTACAGCTCCCAATTCACCCATCTCCTCGCTGCCGCCGCAGCACGTCTCTCTCAGTCGCAATCCTTGTCCCCGTGTAGGGAAATAACAATAAGTACCTCGTCTTACGATGTCGTCGGGGGTATCTTCCCCTCGCTACACCTCCTAAGAGAGAGGGGTGGTATAGACGGCATCCTCCTAACCGGCTCCTCCACCTCAGTCTACCATGCAGACCAACACCCCTGGATCTCCTCTCTGCAGGCTTTCCTGACCGAAGTATATGTGAATCACCCACACATCAAACTCTTCGGCTCGTGTTTCGGGCATCAGATGCTTGCGCGGACGCTCGTGCCGGGGTGTGCGGTTGAGGCTTGCCCGGGGGGTTATGAGATTGGTGTGCATGCTATTGCACTAAATGAGGGGTTTGTGAAGAGGTTTGAGTTTTCTTCACTATCGTCATTGCTAGAGGCACAGGGAACGGGGAAGAAGGAGATGAAGCTACAATTTATCCATGGGGATTGGGTTGTATGTGAGGCAGGGCTACCAGACGAATGGGTGAATCTTGGGTCAACGCCGCGGTGTCCTATCCAGGGATTGTATCGTCGTGGACGGGTGTTGACCTTTCAAGGACACTTTGAGTTTGATGTTTTTGTGAACAGGGAGACATGCCTGGAGTTTGGGAGGAGGTGGGGGTGGGATGGGGAAATAGTAGAAAAGTATGTGAGGGCGATTGAGGCGGGTGATGGGGATGATGATGCGGAGATGGCGGCGGCGATGGTGGTTTGGTTCTTTGCGGGGGAGGATATGAAGGCTGCTGGTTTTGGTCAAAATGAGGTGAAGATGATGGAGGGAGGGCTGTTGACGCCTCCGTTGGAGTAGCTGTCCCGTCCCGGTTTTGAGGTTTAAACACAGCAACACCCAGAACTGAAGTAGAGTGACTGCGCTAGCTGGGTTGCACCTGGTCTTTGACTAAGATATCTCATACATGAAATTAACTCTCATAGATCTCTGTTGCCTGGCTTTCTGTTGGCACATCTCCCGTTGGCCGTACTTGATATAGCATGTTTGGTTCCCCGAGAGAAGTCAAAGTCCTCGAAGTATAGCATCACAATCGACATGTACTAGCAGTGTGCGAGATTTAAAGAACTGAGGATAAGAATTTGGTCAGAGTGTTCAATGGGTTGATAACTAGCAGGTTAGAATTGAGACGTAAAAGCATAACAGTAATTTAATGGACCGCAAAATCCCATGAGCTGCATAGTAGTCCAATCGCTGGGATCTTAAGTCAAAAACAAACTGAACAATTTTTACCAGTTCCGGCCATTGTCCTCTCCCTCAGTACCCTTGTCCTTCGCATCCAATCCCAAGTTACATCTTCTGCAATGTGCCCCAAGTGTCCGGTTGTACTCTAGCGAACGTAGTATCGTGTCCGACGTGATTCTAGAAGGCAAGCTTAACAGAGTCTAAAAGAATAAGAAGTTAGTAATCCACAGAGCAATACAAGCAGTTTATGAGATAGAGTAGCTTACCAGGAACCTCATCGACGCTCATGATCATTGCCTTTCAGCAGCCCACCATGTACTTGACCGGGAAGAGGGTTCTTGACTTGACGATTTCACCACACTTATCGAATCGTTCCCTGGGGTCTCCCATGACTGCATCCAATCCGTATGAGCATAAGGCTGACCAGTAGTTCGGTCATCCTTGAATGGGCCGCGTTGCAAACGGTGATCATCATGAAAGCCGAGATCCCTGGGTTTGCTCGCTTTGCTCGCATCAGATATGAGAGAGCTTGTCCATTCCGGCCCGAAGGCTGCGCCACTGCGCAAGAGGAAACACAAAACAACAGACACCTCGACGCCCGGAGGCGGAGCACCTAGACCCTATATCACTATTAGCCATGAACTGGAAAGACCAAAAGGACGGAAACTTGCCCATAGAAGAGGCGTAAAAAGGCCGTGACCGCTCCAAAGGGCGTAGCGAGACTACCGGCCGGGAGCCCGTGTAGAAATGAAAGAAGGCGTGGGAGAGGAGCAGGAGCGGGGGGTGCCCCGCGAGGCAGCGGAGCGCCATCTTCGCGGACCCGAGCCTATATTGTGAAATTAAATATGATGGCCTTCGCTTCTCTTCCCTGCATGGAATCTATCGTTTCAACTAAAGGCTGACTCGCCTCGGGTATCTGAGATCTCATCTTTCTCATCTTGCAAAGCGTCCTTCTGTAAAGGTTGCGTTGAGCTGAATAAGGCGTGCTTCGCCTTTGTAACCTCCATACAGATGGCTGGCCAGAAGCAAGGCCAACACACCTTCGATATGAGCAGCATTGTACCTTGACAGCCTTGACTGCTCAATCACGCACGCAGATTTCTTTAGACTGAGCACAAAATGCCCAGTATCAAAGGCTGCGTGACCAGGTTGAAAGACATCCCGTATCATCTTGTCCCAACCAGGGTTAACCCTGAGAGGGGTGGTTACAGGGTGAGAGTATATTTCACCCTTGTATATCCGCTTGTTCAAAAACTGTGCAAATGTTGGCCTGAAACGGCGTTGCTCCGTCAATTTTACGACGGATGGCTCGCCGAGTCAGCCGGTGACAAGGGATGTCTCCATCTGGTAGCTGAACCCGTTCCACCCCCGTTGTTCTTTCGCTGTGAGAACCGTAGGTTGGAGTTGCCATGTCGTGGCAGCAATTTTAGTAGAAATTTTGCACTTTGTCAAAGGGATCCAACCATTAACTTCGAGCTCCTTAGGGTCCTCATCTCGGATGAGGAGCACCGCTTTCGCCTCTGATCCAGAATGCTGGGAAGAGACGTTAAATGTCAGGCTGTTGTTTGTCGTAGGATCTCGCTGTGTCTAGCAATGTACTGACAGACATGCTTAAAAGCGATGACCGCGCACTTTCTCCTCTGGTTCCCATTCACTCAGGGGCTCCTCCGTCATGCGTTGCATGCCATCGAGGGTCGGCGAAATGCCTACCGCGGTTCCCTTCAATGTGGAGACGTCTTCATGGGCGATCAGGCCCAGGGAGAGAGCCTTCTGCTCTCCCGATGGATAGTTGCCAATCAGGGTACGCGCCTCTCATTCGGCTGCTTCGATCTCGTGGAGTACTTGGTACTCGAGAGACATTGCGGGAGGCCATAGCACACGGGTTATAACCTGCTGTACCGATTATTTTTGCAATTCGCAGCATAAGTAGCTGACCTCCAATCGATACTGACACAGTCGTCAGTACCAGGTCGACGGTTGGGCTTGCTAGGAAGAGCGGTGGTTGCTAAGAGATCATACTTTAGTGCCTCTGCGACATCGTTACAGCGTCCACTTACAGCATCCACTAACGGGCACTCACATCGATCAAAGCAGCAAGAAAATGGCAACGATGAGGATGGGTTTCCAACTCCTCTACGAGATTGCGCGGTAACAGCGGTCTCGACTGCTTTGCTAATGGCAGCCGCCAAAGAAGATAAAGAAAGTCCCATTGCTGCTTGGGCTTTCTCGTGGGACTCAGAGGGTACCCTCACCAAACGTCTCGATATCGGCAGAATAGCCGAAGCGTACATATTCCGCTCCAGAGTAAAAAAAGGGTAGAAGCAAGGAAACCCAGTACCGCAGGGCTAGAAAGGTGTCTGGTGATGAACGCCTTGGTCTAGCATCGCATATCCATAATCATAGTGGTATAATATTTTAACAATATGTAAGAGAGAAAGAATTGAGCTCTGTCAGTGGTATATGAGCAAGATAGATTGAGTTAGTAGGAGGAAGGGAAGCAGGAAGTAAGAGGCAGATGAAGCTATTTATTCACAATGAAGCTTTGGTTACTCTCTCAGTCTGAATGTAGTGAATGCATCCTTATTAGAGAAGTGAATGCTTAAGTCTATCACGGAAGTCTTCAAGCAATGTGAGGAAGGAAGAAAGGATAGGTATGAAGAGAAAAAAGTAAACTAATGGGTTATTTATAGGTTATATATTCCAATGCTACTTCATTTTACACAGGAAAGATATCTAGACCTAGCTTAGTGAGTTAGATAATTGAGTAAGAAGATATAAGTCTTCATTTCAATGAGTTCAAGCTATTCACAGCTTACCAAACAATAGGGATGAATGCCTTCATTTAATAAGCTTGTTCTTAGAACTAGGTACTGGATCATATCAACTGCTGCTATCCGTTAGCTGAGAACTTGAGATAAATGGCTTTAATCAAAACTGAGAGTGTATAGTTAACCTCAAGTCCCGGCTACTGGCCACTGTTCCGGCGAAGCTGGCATGCCCTAAGTAGACCCAAATTCGCAGTGTATCTTCTCCAGCCGTTTGTCGTGACCAGGAAACAAGTCTCTCGAGAAGCCTGAACTGTCCTTACCTTAGCTACCTGCCTACCCTACCCGTTACTAAGTAGGTACAGCCTTGGCACCAGGGTAGTTAGAACTAATAAAATCAGTCATCTTCCCACTCACACTTCCCGACTTTCTGTCCCCCCACAATGGATTCTACATGGTCATCATCTACTATCTCTTTCTGCTGCTGCTCTTTGGATACTTTATGGTCTTTTACTTTTTAAATATGACTTCTATCCCATTTTCTTCTTCCGCGCCATCTCTAGACCCAGCTTCAATAAATGAACTGGTGGACGAGATTGACGACGACTCATTCTATCATCACCCATCCTGGCCCCAGCGATGGTCGCACCCAGAATTTACTGGGTACTATTTGGATAATTGGATAAAAGCACCATGGTCCAAACAGGAAAGACGTTGGACCACACGCTTTCTAATTCCCTCAATGCGTTCGAAGTTCCCATGGGGCTATATGATTTATCGAACAGTCTACACTGCTGAGTCAGATGAACTGTGGCCTATCGCCATGGATAAACTTGCTCAAATCATGAACGATTCAATTGAGTCAGAACTCGATGCAGACACGGACTCTGATTCAACCGCAGAACGACTAGTGAAGGAATCACATAAGGACGTTATCTTCTCCGACAAGAGGTTCTGGGATGGGGCTAGTATCGAACAGGTTCGCCAACATTTTGCCGAGTATCTCCATGCTAGTAAAGGTCGCGGCTCTGGTCGGTTTGAGGGATGTCTTATCATTGATGAACGATCACTCAAATCTATTATTGCTAGTCCTACCACCCCTCAAAGGCATGGCAAATCTTATGGCTTTGTTGGTATGATCGATGGGCGGTATCCTGAGACGCGGTATGATCTACAATACACTGGCTTTATGCGGGTTGAAATTCCTTACTTATGGCCTCTCTATGCGGAGTTGACCAGTAAGTATATGTGGGAACTATGTCCCTCTGTTCCTGAGGGCTTGATCCCTGTTTATGATGGTGCAACTGGGAAAGCACATGACGAAGAGGGAAATGTCCATCTAATTGTGATGCATCGGGGCGGTTGGCTGTTTTGATGATTTTGTTTCTTTCGCATAAGCTTTGGAACTGCTGTAATAACCGCATTGATATACAGAAATGTATAAGAATAATCATACAACATCAACATATTGTCAGTATAAAATACCTGGCTCATAACCAAGATGATGATGCTCTGTTACATAATATGCAGCTAATCTTCAGAAACCTACAGCTCAGAATGCTGTTCCTATTAGTGGGAGCCTGTTCCAGAGTAGAAAACAGGCTCCATATACACTATCAGAAATAGTGAATGATGATACTGTAGACTCTACACCTTGGAAGAATGCGGATACCTAATATAATTGTAGCGACTTGGGAGAACCTGCCACTATTATATATGTCTATAAATAAAGGGATATTAAATTATAGATCTACAAGGCTACACCCTGGCCTTATTATGTTTGTCTACTTATCTGCTGTATGTGATGAGTATATAAAAGTGCCCAATAACTGTAACTCGCAGAATTAGCCCTAGAATAAACTAGGTATAGCCTGCCTGAAATATTTAAGGCACCAACGCGCAACGCGGAGAGACCACACTTTGAATCCAAAGACCATGCACAACTATGGTCTTTCTGCAGTCACCAACACTTACTCTGTAGTCCTTCATGATGCCAAGCCCCAAAGGATACATACTTTACCTGAACAGGAACGCTATTTGCGTCCAAGATATGGAGATTCTCCGGGGTCCGGACCCTGTGAGGATAAACCATTTCTGGTGCGGGGAATAGGGTAAGACACTTTCAATGGCTGCCACTGTACATCATCAACATGAGACATCTACCAAACAAAAGCACCAGTAGGATCTAATGATTCGATTAAACTCAATTCAAATCCTTCTGTATCCCACGTTCTTGGCATCCCACACACTACATAGTCATAGTCCAAAACATGAAGAAACATGCAGATCCATGCCGACTACCGCTCCCCACGCCAGCCACCTGCGAAGCTCCGCCATCCTGCATAATGTTACCTTCGCGCCTTCATTTCCGTCCAGGATTCTCCCGCGGTCCCGAGTATAAAATTCGTAACCACCCCGTAAATTGAGAACTTTCGACCCTTCATACTCCACTGGACAAAATGCTAGGCTATCTCCCCCTGTTCGCGTCGCTGGCTTCCGCCTCGACCCTCTATGCCACACACTACAGTGGCTCTGTTTACACCCTCTCCCTCACCCATCGCAATGGCAAGTACGATCTGTCTCTCGCATCGGACATGACAACCTGCGGCGGCATGCCGAGCTGGTTGACCCTGGACTGCGATACAAGCACCCTCTACTGCACAGGGCGCACACTCTACTGCTCCGACGAGACAGGCGACGCGACGACCAATGGCACTCTGACTTCTTACGCCGTCGGCAAAAATGGATCGCTCACGCAGCTCGCAAAGGTGGTGGACGTTGGCGGTGGCGTCCACAGCGTCGTGTATGAAGGCGACGAGGGTGCAAAGTACATCGCCATTGCGCACTAGTAAGTCAAATCCCACAATAATGCGTGATATGTCTGACAGAGAGAAGCTCCGGTTCGGCGGTATCGACCTTTGCCCTCCCCATCGAAAACGGCGACGAGCCCCTGCAGATCCTGCGGTACCAAACACCACCAGGCCCCCTTCCGCAGCAGGACTCCTCCCACCCACACCAGATCATCCTCGATCCCACAGGCTCGTTCATCCTCGTCCCTGACCTAGGCACTGATCAGGTTCGCGTATACGCCATCGACAAGCAATCGGGCCAACTAAACACCTGCCCCAGTCTGAACTACACCCCCGGCAGTGGACCGCGACACGGTCTCTTCTGGTCTTCTCACCACTCGCATCGCAATGGTCTGCGCATCCAGAACAAGGCCGCCAAAACCGCGCCACAGACAATGCTGTACACGGTCAGTGAATTGAGCCGCCACTTTCACGCTTTCGCCGTCTCGTACCTCCCCACTGGCTGTCTCGGCTTCCGCGAGACTCAGGACTTCGTGCCATATCCGGGCGGGAAAATCCCCGACGGCGCCTCGCTGGCCGAGCTGCAGCAAGTCGGATCAAACCTGTATGCCTCGATCCGCAGCGACCATGCCTTCTCCGGCAATGATTCATTGGCCACCCTCTCCCGCTCTCAAAACGGCACCGTGACCTTCGAGGAACTCACCTCCTCCTATGGTCTGGTTCCCCGTACCTTTGTCATCAACAAGGCCGGAACTCTGGTCGCTATCGGAGACCAGTCCTCTTCCAACGTTGCCATTGTCTCCCGGGATCCAGCGAGTGGAAAGCTGGGTGACCTGGTCGCCAACATTCAGGTCGGAGAGCCCGGAAAGCCTGGGACTTCAACAGGCCTGAGCAGCGTCATCTGGGCAGAGTAATTTGGATTTTGTCGTATCTCAATATCTTGCTGGATTCACAATGTGAAGCGACAGCATAGACGCACGCCAAATGAAATCTTCATGCATTGCTGCCAAAAGACTAATAAGATGCAATTCTGAACCAAACCCGTCCAAACCAATATAACCTGTGTATCTTAATCC